TTTTGCAGTGATTGTTACATTATAGACAAAGAAAAATAGGTTCCAGCAATCTTCATAAATTGACAAAATAAGTCAGTTTCCTGTAATCGCGAACGCTTGTGATTGGTCTGTTCTGAGCAGCGCTGAGAAAAGTAACAGGCAAAATGTGACAAAACACTGTTTCGCTTGTGCAAATTACGAAGGGTTCAAATAGGACAAGCATTTATTTACAAACATTTCGCATCTTACCTGACTAATTAGAGATAATGTCAGGGTTGCTAACACACACCTCATTTTGTAACAGTTAATGTGGTTAATAATAACAACCGCTTACTTTCGAGTGACTCTCGGCTGTGCTTCCTCTAGCGGCCGCTTTAAGAACTGCACCAAGCCAGCACGAAGTTCCTCTTGGAAAATCCGCCAAACGGTTTTTACTTTACTTTTTTTTTTTTTTACATGACAGCAGTTTATGCCGTTTACAGGTCGTCTCTATTTATGTCCCAGTCTGACGGAAGAGTCGCTTGTGATTGGTTAAAGTCGATACTAACTCTAAAGCCACGCCCATTAAAGTTCTTCATACTTCAGACTAACTGTTAAAGTCACACTAGACGTTTTAGTTGTAGCTGCAGTTATAAAGCTGTAGTTTTGTCCAGTCTGCGTTCATCATGAATCCCTCTGGTTATAACAAACCAGGAAAAACTTTCCTTTTCACATCCGAGTCTGTAGGAGAAGGACATTCTGGTAAATATGAAACATTGTTTCATACATATCGATTTCACTATTTACTACAGTTGCAGTGTCGCACGTTGTATGCATGTATTGTAATGAATGCTACTTGTACTGTGGTGGTGATAAACATCCTCAGTACATGTCTGTACATGCCCTTGAATCACGATCGCAGTTTTGATCTGTGATTGCAGCAGAAATGATAACGCTCAATGAATAATCAATCAATAAATCACACCTTCAGACGAAATATTGATACTAATGCAGTTTAATTCCTGTCTTTATTACTGGCAGATAAAATGTGTGATCAGATCAGTGATGCTGTACTGGATGCTTACCTGGCACAGGACCCCGACTCCAAAGTGGCATGTGGTACACAATGAGTGACATCCATGATATTTCAGATGCTCATAAATGACATTATGTTGACTTAGAAATGCTTGCTTTTACAAACATGGATCTAAGACTTAATGGTGTTTAGCTGGGCAGCGTGTATTTTCTTTTAAGACATTGCCATTCCTTTTGTATGACATCTTAACATGAAGTATTTTCCCATTTCTGGAGCAGAGTGTGTGTCGAAGACTGGTATGATCCTTCTGTGTGGTGAAGTGACTTCAAAGGCTGTGGTGGACCTTCAGAAAGTGGTTAGAGACACTGTCAAGAGTATTGGATATGATGATTCATCAAAGGGTATCTATATACACAAACACACACACATATAATGAAATATTTAACATGTAAATGTATTTTCAGCATCATTACTCCAGTCTTCAGTGTCACATGATCTTCAGAAATCACTCTAATATACTGATTTGCTGCTCAAGAAACATTTCTGATTATTATCACTGCTGAAAACAGTTGTGCTGATTCATATTTTTGTGGAAACCGTGATACTTTATTTTTTTTAGGTTTCTTTGATGAATAGAAAGTTCAAAAGAATAGCATTTATTTGAAATAGAACTTTTTTGTTGCAATATAAATATCTTTACTGTCACTTTTGATCAATTGCATGCGTTCTTGCTTGATAAAAGCATTAAAGGGGTGGTTCACTGTGTTTTTTCTAGGCTTGATTGTGTTTATGGGGTGCAGTCTAACATGTGTTAATGCTTCGTTTAAAAAGCATTATTTTTCACATAATTTACCTTTATTCCACACCGCTCTGTTCCTTCTCTGAGAAACACGCTGATCTTTTCCTGTTTTTATGAAGCCCCCACGAACCCGGGAAGTAACTCGTTGTAGTCCCTACCAGCCGTTTTTGTAGGCATTAAACCGCCAGAATTTTAAAAGACGATATCTCCGTTTGCATTGAACTTTCAGCTTCGTAACTTTGCAGATATTGTTTATGCTCAAACAGCAACACTACACACTAACTAACGTTAAAAAAGTGAAATCGCAATGAACCACCCCTTTAAAATCTTAAAGTGCTGTTCTCATGTGATCCCTCCAGGCTTTGACTACAAGACGTGTAATGTGCTGGTGTCTCTGCAGCCGCAGTGCTCGGAGATCAGCGACTGTGTGTTTGAAGGCAGAGACATGGAGGACATCGGTGCTGGAGATCAGGTCAAGACATTCTGATGAAAAAAATATGCTCTTTTGCTTTCACGTTACAAATATGTTTTGCAAACTTATAAGCATGATAGAAGTGTTGTGTGACTCTAGGCAGGGAAATAGCATCCATTATAACATTCGTGTCCCCAGTTTTGGGATATAATGATTTAATTTGACTTATTTTGATTTATTTTTAAAATAAACAATAAAACAAATGCATTATGAATAGCATTCTCAATCTAAAATCATGAATATATAAAGTATTCAAGTAGTAGCATAAAACAGTAAACAACAAATAAATTGACCGTAAATAATTAATAATAATATATATATATATTTAATATTATTAAATATATATTATCTATTTAATAACAACAACAACAATAATAATAATATCATTATAATATATATATTTTTTTGGATAAAGCACTTTTGAATATATCTGAAGTAATGGTGTCAAATTTAAATAATTTATGTTGAATGATTTATGTCATATTTCTCCACAGGGTTTGATGTTTGGCTACGCCACTGATGAGACAGAGGAGTGTATGCCGCTAACCATCCTGCTAGCTCACAAACTCAATGCCAAAATGAAGGAGCTCTCTAAGACTGGAGTTTGTCCTTGGATTCTTCCAGATTCAAAAACACAGGTGAAAGGTTTCTTTGAAACGATAGGTGTTTATATATAGTTATCTCTGTAAACTAATAGGGCAAACACAGCAGATAATGTTGATGTCTTCAATTATTAACGAGTGCAGGTGACCGTGGAGTACCGTGATAACATGGGTGCCGTGGAGCCTCTGCGTGTCCATACTCTAGTCATCTCAGTTCAGCACAGCCCTGACATCACGCTGGCAGATATACGTCACAGTCTGATGGAGAAGGTTGTAAAGGCCGTCATCCCTGCCAAATACCTGGATGACAAGACTATTTATCACCTGCTGCCCAGTGGGAAGTTCCTGGCAGGTGGTCCACAGGTAAGCAAGCACAAAAACTGGTTTGCTTTGGCAAGCATCAGTATTAAAGGGACAGTTCACCCAAAAATAACAATTCTGTCATCATTTACTCACCCTCAAGTTGTTCTAAACCTCTATGAGTTTCTGTTGAACACAAAAGAAGATATTTTGAAGAATGTTGGTAACCAAACAGTTGCCATTGACTTTTATAGTATTTTTTTCCGTACTGTGGAAGTCAATGGTTACCGTAAACTGTTTGGTTACCAACATTATTCTGTAGCGCGTTCACTTTCAGAATGATTCTTTCCAGCCGCTGAACCATAAAAACATTGACAGCCGATCAGAATCCATCTGACTTTACACCTCAAAGGAGAAGGGTTTTCTTGGGAAAAAAGTATTGCACGTGCACTGGAATTTTATTGTACATTTAGAAATATATGTAGATTTTAAAATTACATTTAAAAAAACTGTATTTGCAGATCAGTTTTATTAGTTTTTGTTAAAGGCAGAGTGAGGGATTTCTGGTAGCCAATGTTGATATTTGAAATCACCAAAACAAACACGCCCCTACCCCAAAAGGGTCTTGCCCCTATTTTGATAGCTCCACCCCACATATACGTACGCAACCCAGGCAACGATTAGTTCTGTGAAACAAAGCAAAACCAATGTTACACCGTGTCTACGGACGCGAGCGGCGCCATGAGTAACATGTTGCTAGTGTTTTTTTAGTATGATAAACATGTTGCTAACATGTTGTAGCATGATAAGCATGTTTATAGCATGTTGTTAACATGTTTATAGCATGATTAGCTTGTTGCTAACATGTTTCTAGCATGGTTAGCATATTTCTAGTATGTTTCTAGCATGATTAAAATGTTGCTAACATATTGTTAGCATGTTTCTAACATTAGTATGTTGCTAACATGTTTTTAAAAACATGTATGTTTTTTCTAGATTGTTGCTAACATTTTAGCATGATTAACATGTTTCTAGCATGTTGTTAACATGTTTCTAGCTTGTTAGTATGTTAGCGTGTTTTAACATGATTAACATGTTGCTAACATGTTTCTAGCATGTTGTTACCATGTTTCTAGCATGATTAGCATGTTGATAACATGTTTCTAACATTATTAGCATGTTGCAAACATGTTTTTAGCATGATTAGCATGTTTTTAGCAAGTCCTTCCTAATTATACTGTAATATATTTTAATTTAATTGCATTAAAGTGTCCAAAAACATTACATTCGGTTCGCACTAAAGCAGTGATGGGCAAACTTGGCCCTTCCAGGTCACTTTCCTTCAGAGTTTAGCAGGTGAGTTGTATCAGGGTTGGATCAAATCTGTGCAGGAAAGTGGCCTGGAAGGGCAAAGTTTGCCCATCACTGCACTAAAGTATATTCATTCAGTATATTCAAAGTATATTATTTCCATAATAAGTACTCTTAAAAGTATGCTATTTTATGTCCTTTTTTGTTTTCGCATGGGGTACTATGTGAAGTGAATGCTGTTGTTGTTGTTGTAGGGAGACGCCGGTCTGACGGGCAGGAAGATCATTGTGGACACCTACGGCGGCTGGGGCGGTCACGGCGGCGGGGCGTTCTCGGGGAAAGACTACTCTAAAGTGGATCGCTCAGGCGCTTACGCCGCCCGCTGGGTGGCCAAGTCTCTCGTCAAAGCCAAACTGTGTCGCAGAGTTCTGGTTCAGGTGAGACTTCTGGTCTCAGGTGACCGAAATCAGATAAACATTTCATTCAAAATTAAATTGTATTAAAAATAAATATATTATAAATACATTAAATATATTAAAAATTGTGTCCTTATGTGCAATTCTGGATTTGTTGGACTGGATTTCATTGTGAAATTTTGCAGGACAACAGTACATGAGTGAGTGATAAAATATGCAAGCGTACTGTTAATGCTGTATTTTTGTTACAGATCTCTTATGCTATTGGTATTAGTCACCCTTTGTCGGTGTCTGTTTTTCATTACGGCACATCAACGAGAGATGAGGACGAGCTTTTAGAGATTGTCAAGAACAATTTTGACCTGAGGCCAGGGGTCATCGTCAAGTAAGTAAAGTAAAATGTAACTGACACTTAAACTTTTGTTTATGAACAAAAATATAATAGTATAATAATTTCATCTTGCAGGGAGCTTGAGCTAAAGAAACCGATCTACCAGAAAACAGCCTGCTATGGACACTTCGGACGAGAGGAATTTCCTTGGGAAAAGCCGAAGATGCTCATCTTCTGATACAGAGAATTACAGTTTACATTCCTTTTGATTTTTAATGATTATGACTGTATTTGTGCAAATGCACCTTTACTGTGATCAAGACTTTATAATGGCTAAAATGATCTAATATTTTCTTTGAGAGAAATCTGAAATCTGCCTTATCCCTCAAGACATTACATTAGAATGTAGCATCTTTTGTATGAATTAACAGAATTCAGTTACAGTTACTGAATTAGGTGGAAAATGTGATTTTCTTTATTACTGCATCTTATGCATGATATAAAAACTGATGACTGTGAAGACATTAAACCCTTTTTAATGCTACAGTGGTTATTACATCATTTCCCTTTTTTAAAACAAATAGTATTAATAATGGATAACCACTTATTTGGTTTCACTTAAAATGCAGTATACAGTATATCTTTTTTTAAACATTTGGCATGCTCCACATTTTTAAAGCCTCAGTAAAGCCTCATTTTTTTTCATTTATGTTAAGATTAGATGATTTTATGGGGGTTTTGGACCATTGTACCTCTTAACATCACACTTTGTTGACTGTATTCAACAGTTAAAATCATACAACAGTGTCAGAATATCTGTTGAATGATATTCAGTTCTTTGAAGTGGATTATGAAAGTACATCTTATGTGCTGTATGACTAAGAAATTTGATGAATTTGAAGTTTGACAATATCTTTCAATCATTTTCTGTTTTTTAGGCGAGTCTCTACAGAACTGCACACAACAATAGCATGACACCATTGTTTGTGTTTTCAAAAAAATTACATAAATTATATAATGTGAATGTAGGAATTTACCCTCAAACCAAAAATAGTTTTTGTTCAATTATCAGTCAGACAAATGCAACCCCCCCAAAAAAGAATTGAAATAGACATGTTTTTATAATTTATTCAACACAATATACCAAACAAATACTATTTACAGTGTGGCAATTCATTGCATTTAATTGAACTCAATCACATCAGCGCTGAACAAACATACTGTACAGGTTATTAAAGTTATGTTATTATGGCCACTGTGTAAAATGGGTGATAATTGAGTGGGCTGCATTAATGTGTCTTGCTCTTTGTCACATATGAGAACCGCAGGAGAAAACAGAGCCGTATCAATGACAGTAAATCAGGGTCATGTCTTGTTTCTGGGTGTATCAGAGTAAGGTACATTGTCCAGCAGGAGACTCTCGCGGGGCCGTAACACTACAAAACACAATATAAGCAACAATCATTAACCTGAGGAAATCACATGCTCCGAACTCAAGAGCATGTGAATCAATGTCAACCGTAAATAAAAATAAATATGTTGTTATTACGCCAGTGTAAAGAAATGGATGCAGGGTTTCTACAGGTGTTATGAAGGTAAATTTAAGGCCTTTCCAAGACCTTTTTAAGAAAATTTAAAGGGGTCCTATTACGCTTTTTCACTTTTTCAACTTTAGTTAGTCTGTAATGTTGCTGTTTGAGCATAAAAAAAGATCTGCAAAGTTACAATGCTCAAAGTCCACTTCAAAAGGAGATATTTTATTTAACAGAAATCACTTTTCAAAAACTACAATGAACGACTCGTTTGGACTACAACGCATATTTTCCGGGATTTGTGATATCACAAATATCGACGAATGGGACGAGACCTGGTTGAGCTGCACTAGAGAAGGCAACGAGTGTTATCACTATGTCGGAGACACGCTAGCTTTCCCAAGGCAGACGGCCTTAGAGTGTTTGCAATCATCTGGGTTTAAATCACACTCAAATTGATTTGATTTTGAAGCAATATTTACACTGAAGCTCGCAGGCGGCTATGGTAAGGGGCATGACATTATCTCCCGACCCGCCGCGACAGTGGTGCCAATCACAACACACACTGGCCCAGCTAACCAATCACAGCACACACTGGCCCAGCAAACAAATCACAACACACACTGGCCCAGCAAACCAATCACAACACACACTGGCCCAGCAAACCAATCACAGCACACACTGGTCCAGCTAACCAATCACAGCACACACTGACCCAGCTAACCAATCACAGCACATTTCGTATTTCAGAAGGCGGGCCTTCATTTGATACAGGAACTATTCGAGCCGTTCATGCCAGACTGGGGAGAGAGGTGTTGTAATAATGTAAAATATGTGAAAAATAATGTGTTTTTCGAACAACCTAGTATGAGAGCCTGTTCTAGTACACCCCCAAAACAAAATCAAGACTTTGTAAAAGAGCATAATAGGACCCCTTTAAGGAATAAAATTGAAAACACAATACGTCAATATGTTGTTTAAATGAAGTACACAGTGATTGGTATTAGCAACACTTCGAAGTTTGAAAATACAACTTCCAACAGATCTCCATTACTTTTCCATTCATTTTACAAAAAAAAAAAAAAGCTTAAGGTTTGAAAAGCTCTGTTCACAAACACCAGAATATGTGGGGAAAAAACCCTGTACAAATTATGTTCTTTCTCAGTATTTTTGACTTGTTTACACTGTAAAACAAGTAAAAAAATACTGAGAAAGAACACCATTTGTACAGGGTTTTTGTCTATGTCTAAAAGAGACTTAAATCAAGATACATTTACTTGAGGAGCAAAATGACATTATTCATCTTGTTTTCTGTGAAACTGATCGAAATGAAGGGAGTTTACGCTTAAAACAAGAACAAATATCTGCCAATGGATCCGGAAAAATCACCCATTTCAAGGCCTTAAATTGCCGAATTAAGACTTTTTAAGACCTGCAGAAACCCTGTGGATGTATAATATATACAACATAAATCAAGATAATTTAATTAGACATTTCTATAATACATATACAATTTGAATAATAAAGTATATATTGTGGTAGTATTTGTTGTCGAATTTATGCAGATTTAAAATCACTGTATTACAGTAACAAACAATGCCAAGAAGAATTACAGTAATGAGAATTTGGGAGGAAAATTATGCTTATTTTTTTCTTTTCTTTTCTTCTTTTGAGTTTGGGATGAAATGTGATCATGTTCTTGAGCTTCACCCATAATTTTACACCAATCACTTACAGACTTTATTTTCCTCCACATGCTCTCCCTGTATCACATTTTCACGAAGGATGGTCTCAACCGCTCGGGCCATTTTAAGCATCTGAAAAGAGATATTGAGCTTTGTGATTCTCACCAAGATCTCCCAAGAGCAGACAGAAATGACATTCTGATATGATATCTAATGTTAATCCAGCCGTGCCGTCACGTGACTTGCCTCTTTAATATTCTCCTCTGATGTTTCATTCTTGTTTTTTTTGAATTCTTCATTTATTTTTAACCTGGCAGCTTCATGTTCAGAGGGGGAAAAATTCACTTGTATGAGACATTAACTAAGACATAGCAACAACAATAATAAATACTTCTTAATTTTCATTTTATTTGATTCATAATGCAAAGATTAAAAAAAAACATACAAACACAGGACAGGAATTAAATTTAGCTAAAAAGCAACATTCCAAACAAAAGCATCAACACTAAAAAAAAAATAAAAAACTGAATTAAGTGAATATGTAACGAATTTAAGTATGTAATTTCAGAATGTAGACAACTGAATGTAAGAATGTGGTGAATTATTGGTAGCATACGAGTTATTAATATTGGTGTGTGTAGGTTTACTGATACCTGTCAGAGCTCGGTCATCATCTCTAAAAACACAGCTTCTGGTCTTATGCAGATCTTTGAACAGCCGCAGCACCTTTGAATACAAACATTAAGAAACTGCAAAGATAAATGACTATAAACAATTATTTTATAATGCAATGACACTTTGCTCTTGTAAAGCCATCTGTTTAAACAATTTAATAACGGCAACTGCATTTACTGCGTTTGAAAATAAACATAGCAAATACAGAAATTGTTAACAATAATGTAAGTTGCTGTTGTTCCTCGCCTTCAAGCGTGACCCCATCATTCATCAGGCAGAAGGCTTGTTCTCGTGTTAATGTTGGAGGTTGTGGAGCTGCACAGCGCCGCCTGCTGTACTGGAGGACGCGTCTCTTCCGCAAACCCGTGTGCTTTATTTTTTTTTAGCAATAAACAGAAACAGAATCTTCCAGAAGAAGCTAGTTAGTCGGTTTGTATTGTTGATTATGGTATTGATTTATGGTAATTTCCCATTAAATAAAGTAAAATCTTTATTATATATATTTTTTCTTTCTATGAGGGTTGGAGGAGGTTCAACAGCACCATACTGGTTATCTTCAGATATCCGCGAAGCTGGTTTTACTACATATTTAATAATTTCTGCCTAAGATGCATCACACTCATTCAGATCCTCTGGTTATTACTCTTTGAGCTCTATATTCCCCTAAGTTCTCCATGGCTCCTTCCTCTATTACTCTAGTAGCCTACTGATATTTTCTAATTGATTTATAGACACTTATACAATTTTGTAAAAAAGGGGGTGTTTAATACATTACACACTGGAGAAAAAAACAATTTGAGACGTACATGCCATTAAAGATAGGCAACGAGTTACAAACATAAAGTTTTTAGAGCTTTTTTTGTTCTTAGACAATTGGATGAATGAAAGGTATTGCTCAAATTCTTTCATGAAAACAAAAAAAAGAGAGGTCGCAGTTTGAATATTTGCATCTGTGCATATGGACTTTAGCAAGCAGCAACATCAGATTCACTGCACAAAACTGTTTTTATTAGACTGTTCATACTCCGCAAAACCCAGCAGTCCTTCAGAAACAGGACACATTCATTATAAACTGAACTCCCAATGAAACCTAAAACATCTTGCCAACATTTCTTTGTAAATGGTCAGCTCCAAAAGAGAAGAACAACCGTTTCAACAGAGTCATCACAAAAAGAGCAACTGGAGGAAATATCGCATTTGAATTTCTTCATGTGATTTGAATTATTTTGTAAGAAATCTCCTTTACTTTGTTAGTTGAGGAAGCATCCACACTTTTCCCAGCAGATGTTACCCACTGCATTATTCCAATAAGCAGTCACAGCTGGCAGAGTAATAATATTCTGCTGAAATTATGAGCGGGCGATCTATTATTATTGTTTTTGCAGGGAGAAGTCGGTGGTTCAGAGCATTTCAAATCGTGCAGTCACGTGATTTTAGCAAACAAAACATTTATTTATTTATTATTTTTGTAGCTGTCTTTCCTCGTTTTTGTTCTTTTTGCTGTTTTATTTTTTTGTATGCATAACTGTATATTTTTTAATATTTAAAATTGAACTAAAGTGCATGCATAATGCTAATGTTTAGTCAATAATTAAAAAAGAAACATTTCAAAATGCCGATGTTTTGTCGCTAGATGGTGTTGATCTTGTGAACTCATGAACGACCGTCTCTGGTTTTAACTGATCTCGGGTCAGTTTATTTTGAATGTATTTTAATACTTATGCGTGTATAATAAAAAAGAAAACAATATTTTATTTTTTAATTATTTCTTCTTGACCTAGTTTGCCAAGCCCTGCCTAATAACACACAAAACAAGCATTACCTACGCATTATAAAAGAACACAATTTTCCCACAACCTTCATATTTAATGCTGTTTGATTATTACACTGAATATTACACTGATTATTACACTGATTATTACACTGAATATTACACTGAATAGACTACACTCTGATGAAAACAGTGCAGTGTTTGGGACGTTTACACCGTCTTGAGCAGCAGAAAGAGAGTAACACGAGCTCAAACCTCTAATTTTCAGTCATACAACTGAGATTTCCAATAAAATACTCAAACAGGTTCATGTGAATAAAAGAAACAATAAGTTATACAGTATAATAAACAAGAAAACAACTTTTTAGCGGGGTTGCAAGGAGAAAAAAAAAAAAAAAAAAAATGAATAAAAACACCTTTACAAAATCTTAGAAAGACAGAGACGTTATATAATTCACCAAGGTATGCATTGTCTTTTGATAAATATTTTATGGAAGACAAATAAGTTTTACACTTATTTTTAAAAAGAAGTTAAAGAGGGTTTGCTATTATTCCACTTGCATTTATGAATATGATACCCATAGTAATAATAATGTTTAACATCAGTGACATTTGTTTTGATGGACAATCCACATAAATCAAAACCTGAAATAAATGTAGATAAGGAATGTCATTATTAATATAATATTTAACCAACTGTAAAGATCCTGCCAGAGCTGCGATGTGACTGGGCAAGCAAAACATTACATGTTCAAAGGTGTCAGCTTCTTCAAAACGGAATATTTTCCGTAAAGTAGGATAAACATTATTAATGATTCCAAACGGAATTTCCTTCATTCACCTCGGATACAAACCTGATCAGTGAGCGCCGAAGACTTTTAAGCGAAGAAGCGAGTACTTTTAATTTGAAACGAGTAAGATTTTCCGGAAGTGACGAGAGTGACTAGTGTAGTTCCGCACCTGCGCGGTGGCTGTCAGCTGACAGATGTTCGCTGTCTCGGTTCGTGCGGCTGTGAAACACAATCACCTGCGCGATCAGAGCCGATCAGCGCGATGAGTGCCGGCACCCCGCGATCACTGGCCTCGTCCGGGCAGAAATCCATCCAGGACATCTGCCACCCTCTGTCCGCCGAGGAGAGCGCGCTGAGCCGCATCCCAGATGTGCTGAACCCCGGCAGCGCCGGAGAGAGGGTGAGATCAGGGCAACATGAACCCACGCCCGCTGCTAGCTCGGCGGCATTCATAGTTCTCCAGCAGTGCTGGCAGTGTGTCGAGATGTCTACGCTATTATACTGGATGAAAAGCAAGTAGTGTATTTATCCAGCCTCAAACAGTACACAGAGTTCATTTCGTAATATGTTTTTAGTAAATATCGTGGTAATATCTTATGGAAATATGCAATGTTACTGCCTTGTTAATAAACATGCATCATGGTATTACCATGTTTTTAGAAATGCACTAGTATGGTACTATCGCGGTTGTCTGAACATGCACCATGATTGTACCGCGTGTGTTTTTGTGTTTACCATATGCATGGTTTATTGGCCTCGTACCATGGTGGACATGTACTGCAAAGATATATGATTTAGCTCTTTATTTAGTATGATGGTAACTTACACATCAGGAAACCATCACAGTATTTCTTTTTGTGTGTGGAATGAATGGAGTGCATTTTTTTTTAGACATTCAGGTTCATGCAATAATACATTATTACTGATTAATCGAGAATTCACAACAATTGGGCTGCTTTAAGAAATGGAAGCATTTTGTGTTCAATCTAAAAACTGGTAAAATGAAATGACATGTATGTGATCTTCCAGTTTTCAGTTATTATTGATGCTGATCAGTGTTGACACAAATCAAGGTTTGTTTATCAAATGCACAAAAATATATGCAGCAAAATATTTATGTATGCCCAGAAAATGGAAATAATAATAAAAAAAAGCAATAGTTCACCCAAAAATGAACATTTGATGAATATGTGCTCACCCTCAGTCCATCCAAGATGAAGATGAGTTTGTGTCTCCATCAGATTTGTAGAAATGTAGCATTGCATCAGTGTCTCAGCAGTGGATGCTCTGCAGTGAATGGGTGCCGTCAGAATGAGAGTCCAAACAGCTGATAAAAACATCACAATAATCCACAAGCAATCCACACCACTCCAGTCCATCAGTTAATGTCTTGGATGACCCGAGGACGAGAACATTTTCAGCAAATTTTCATTTTCGGGTGAACTATGCCTTTAAGACTTAAAGGAGAAGGAAAGTTACAGTGAAACATGAAGAATAGAAAATTTAATATGAATGGTGCTTAACACGTTTGAACAGAATTGCTATTAGTAAATTCTAATGCATATGTTTTAATAATAATATTATATCAAATTTTATTTCTATATGTACTTTATTATTATTAGAGATAGGTTTCCGTACTCGTTTATTCCTATGACCAATTTCTAGCTAGAAGGTGTTAATCTACTTTAGTGTTATATATATTTTTTTCTGATTGGAAGCTTACACACTCTAAAAAATGCTGGGTTAAATACAACCCAGTGCTGGGTAAAATAGGGACAAACCCAGCAATTGGGTTGTTTTGACCCAGTGGTTGGGTTACTAGCCAGAAGCTTGGGTTAAACATTTAACCCACCCGCTGGGTCAAAACAACCCAATTGCTGGGTTTGTCCCTATTTTACCCAGCACTGGGTAGTATTTAACCCAGCATTTTTTAGAGTGCATAATTCATATTTAGATGCATCGCCGCAATATTTTAACAAACTGTCTGTTAATAAGCAGAAACTCACTTTTGGGTTGTTTTGTGCCACACTGTAAACATTTTGGAAAACTGGATTTTTTTAACAGAAAAAATGAAATCGTGGGATGCACAGTGCCAGGGAACGTTGTGAGTAATGCTTATTTTCCTGGTAAAAGAATTAATAATTTGTTGTCACCGTTTTGTGATAATTGCTTAATCTTGTTCAGTTTTCTTGGAAACATTTTCAGTTGTAATGTGAAATAGCAATAACATTAGCGAGATAAATCAAAACAAGTATGTCCACATCTGGAGAAAACCTCCGATATCCGTTTTAAAATTTTTATAAAGTTGTTCTTTTTCTAACATTTGAGTTTTTAACAAATTCTGTATTCCAAACGAAATAAAATGCCTTATAAAATCACTGTTACCCATTCAACTTTCTCCTTGCCTATAATTTAATCATACGTTAAAAAAACATTTATTTGACCATATTAATGTCAAAATATATAAATGCATAATTTCTAGATGCTTTTTTGCATACCTCCACTTTTTATTTGTGTTTAAGAATTAATTTCCTTTTTTTTTTTATTATGAATTAGCGTTTATTGTTATGTTTTTAATTTTTAGTTTTATTTCAGATTTAGAAAATGTAGTTCTTCAACTTTTATTTAAAAAATGATTTATTTCAGTTAGGTGCCAAGACAATTTTTAAAAAATTTTTTTATTTTATTTAATATTTCAATTTTATTTCAGCTTTATTTCAATTTACAAAAACATTTTTTTTGTAGTTTTGGTTTTAGTTAACAACACTGACTGGTAACCTTCAGTTAAAACAACTTTAGAAAGGAAAAAATCGTGGAAGTTTATTGGTCAGAAAGTGTGGGAACCCTTTATAAGACACAAAATACAGTTCAGTCCATATACTGTATATTTGGACATTGACACAATTTTCATAATTTTGGGTCTGTATGCCACCAGAATAGAATTAAAATGAAACGATCAAGAGGAAATTGAAGTGCAGACTTTAATTCAAGGGGTTGAACACTTTCATCAGATGTCATTTTTATTATTTCTACCAACTTTTAAACCGCATGCATAGGATTGCTTAAGAAAACACTGTGCATATATAAAAACATATAAAGTTGTTCATTTCTGGAGGACATTGAAGAGAGGAAGAAAGCAGGAGCACTGCACTTTCAGCCTTGAATGAGTGAATTTTGAAGTTTTCTTCTGGGTCTAATATCACCAGAGCAGAACTGTTTCACTGTTGTTCATCTCTAACTGATGAACCTCTTTTTGAATTGTGGGAACCACTGCTTTTGGAGGGTTTTGTGTGTGTATATTCACATTTACATTATTCGATTTTCAAAATATCGATGTTCCATTAAGTCAGTCTTTTTTCCCCGCCCCCAGGACCTGATCCTGCCCAATGGGACTCCAGTAGACACCTCAAGCCCCGCCTCCTCTTCATCTCTGCTGAACCGACTACAGCTCGATGACGATCTGGACGGAGAAACACGCGATGAACAAAAATATAACATCACGTGTCACATGATCCTTCAGAAATCATTGTAATATGCTGATTTGCTGCTCAAGATTATTATTATCAGTGCTGAAAACAGTTGTGCTGCTTCATATTTTTGCGCTTTTGTTTTAAGATTTCTTTGATGAATAGAAAGAGATTATTTGAAAGCTTTTGTAACATTATAAATGTCTTTACTGTCACTTTTGATCAATGCATCCTTGCTGAATAAAAGTATTGATTGCTTAAAAAAATGATATTCACCTGTTTTTGTTTCTTTGTGACCTACAGACCACCAGAACAGAGTTTGACCTGCCTGAGTACTCGGTAAGGCGACGCTACCAGGACTTTGACTGGCTGAGGAACAAATTAGAGGAAAGCCAACCCACCCACCTTATTCCAGTAGGTAGAGGAACAGCCCTCACTGCACTGCTTTCAAAACCACTAGTTTTAATGCATCTGCACATTTGTACAACTAGCTGTTATTTAATGAGCCATTCAATGTTGTGCGGATTGTTTTTGACTTCCAGTCACTGATATTGCTGCCAAGATTAAGCAAAATCTGCTATTTCAGACCACGCGATGGACTACGTTTGATGTTGTTTCTCCTGTCTGCAATCCTTTAGCCTTTTTATTCAGCTTTGAGATGATGTATAAATCTCAATTTCGAAAAATTTAACCTTTTGACTGGTTTTGTGGTCCAGGGCCACATATTCCTTTCTGAAAATCCTGCTGTATGTCATACCATTTAGCTTTGACTCTATTCACAATATAAAATAGTCATGTAAATGTCATCTAAATAAATTGGCAAACCATGCTTCTGAATTTAAATTCAGAAATTCTGAAGTTTAAAACAAGTTAGATAAAAAGTAATCTAAAAGTAATCTAAAAAGTAGTCAGAATGGATCACCTAAAATGAGTAACCTAGATTACGTTACTAACTACAGTTTTCATCATGTAAACTGTTAATCAGTAACGCACTACAATTTGTAAATAATCTACCCAGCACTAATTATAGATCTTGTAGTGAACGATTCATTCGTGTTTGTAATGTTGAATTAAATATCATAACTAGGTCTTCTGATGAAACAATACTTTTCTCTTTTTGTTTCTTTGTGACCTACAGACCACCAGAACAGAGTTTGACCTGCCTGAGTACTCGGTAAGGCGACGCTACCAGGACTTTGACTGGCTGAGGAACAAATTAGAGGAAAGCCAACCCACCCACCTTATTCCAGTAGGTAGAGGAAAAGCCCTCACTGCACTGCTTTCAAAACCACTAGTTTTAATGCATCTGCACATTTGTACAACTAGCTGTTATTTAATGAGCCATTCAATGTTGTGCGGATTGTTTTTGACTTCCAGTCACTGATATTGCTGCCAAGATTAAGCAAAATCTGCTATTTCAGACCACGCGATGGACTACGTTTGATGTTGTTTCTCCTGTCTGCAATCCTTTAGCCTTTGCCTGAGAAGTTTGTTATGAAGGGAGTGGTGGACCGCTTCTCAGAGGAGTTTGTGGAGACCAGGAGAAAGGCACTAGACAAGTTCCTCAAACGTGTAGCAGACCATCCGGTGCTCTCTTTCAATGAACACTTCAATGCATTTCTCTCAGCAAAGGTCAGTGCTTTAAAGTCAGCATGAAAATAAAAACTCACACTGCATATTATAGACAGAGCTGGGTAGTAACTGATTACATGTAATCTGGATTACGTAATCCGATTCCAACAATCCAGTACTCGAAATATGTGACCCTGGAGCACAAAAGCAGTCTTAAAGGCAGGGTATGTGATTTTTAAAAACACTTTAGAAAACTGATTCGGGCCGAATAGCAAAACAAACTTGTAGCCAATCAGCAGTAAGGGGCGTGTCTATTCGTGATGTGGAGGAGAGAGCTTTCAGTGCATGGGACGGACATTAGCCGAGCCGAGCGACAGAAAGATAGAGATGGCGGATAAAAAACAAAAGAGGAAAACGTCTGCGGAACGATAAGGCAAAGAAGTAGGACCCGTGTAAATATTGGATCAGCTTTCCAGCGCTGGAGAGAACTCAAGGAGCGGAGGCCTGCGATCGGACGCCGAGGTTGCTTTGTTTCTTCTCAATAGGTGAGTAACACCGTGTCTACAACTTCTGAATTTAAATTCAGAAATTCTGAAGTTTAAAACAAGTTAGATAAAAAGTAATCTAAAAGTAATCTAAAAAGTAGTCAGAATGGATCACCTAAAATGAGTAACCTAGATTACGTTACTAACTACAGTTTTCATCATGTAAACTGTTAATCAGTAACGCACTACAATTTGTAAATAATCTACCCAGCACTAATTATAGATCTTGTAGTGAACGATTCATTCGTGTTTGTAATGTTGAATTAAATATCATAACTAGGTCTTCTGATGAAACAATACTTTTCTCTATGATGACATACGCAGGTCTTATCCAATCATTTAGTCAGCTTAAACCCCGCCCTAAACTCCGCCCCTGCAAGGTCATGTTCATCTGCCTCCACTCTTAAATGCCACGCCCACATCTCGACATCCAATCAACAACCGATTCACAGAGCCAAGCCCCGCCCTACAGTTTTTCTTTCGATAATTTGTCTTTTTTAGAAAATCCGTTTCAAAACAATACAGAAGAAAAGATCTTCAAATCATTATGAATTTAATGTTCCTGAAGGGAGTCCAAACTGACCTTATAAATGAAAAGAAAGTTGGAAACATAACTCTTAAGTGTACAGGAATCATAAATGTGTCATGCTTCAAGTTTCTCAGCGTGTCTGTGCCGGCGACGTGTTGGATTGCCAGAGCTGGAAACCCTCACTAGCTGTTTATGACCAGATCCAGATGTCTCTTTGAGAGTAGCCCGACAACATTGAGCTTTTGCAATATGTTGCTAGTAGGCTATATATTCCAACATGGAAAGCTTGTTCCAGAAACTCATTGTTTTCATTGGCTTTGGCAGGGTTTTCTTGGCCGTGAGACAGAATTGATGTACTGTATGCTTGACTTTCAGGACTTGAATAAGCGTCAAGGCCTGGCTCTGCTGACTAAAATGGGGGAATCTGTGAAGTATGTGACAGGCGGTTATAAAGTGAGGGCACGGCCGGTGGAGTTTGCCGCCATGGGTGACTATCTGGACTTGTTCACACAGAAACTGGGCACCATTGACAGGATAGCACAGCGAATCATCAAAGAGCAATCAGGTAAAGAGCGTCCCACTTGGCCTTTTAAAAGAAATGACATCCATTCATCTTCCATCCTAAAGGCCCCGAGATACTGACAGCAAAGCTCTTTATCATTCTTCAGGAAGGGGTAAAAAAGTTAAAAATACCTTTATGGCAGTTTACTGTTTAGTTAACATCCCAACACTGCCTATGCAGCTGAGAGCAGCGTTTAGATGAATATGTAAATATGTGCTGCGCACTTTCCTCTCAATAACAAATAAACACACAAAAAATGAGAGCGGTGAGAAAACAGCAGTTAAGAAAGCACCTGATCATAGCCATGTGGATGGTTGCACAAGCTCTGCAGTCGGCGCTCCAGTAGGCTTGCCGCGATAGACGGTGTTGACGGTGATACCGGTGTTAAGCCGCAACACCGGTTACGTCACTTGCCCACCGCGGCACCGACCCCCACCGTCGTTTTGATTTTTTATAGTAATAAAAATCATTTAGTTCAGTAAAAGAACAGACACTACAATTAAAAACTGAACGCGGCTGCTCAATGCAGCGTGCCGAACGACAGTCGCATCACAGATCAGATTTCATTTCTCCAGTGAGGAGAGTGAGTCGAGCTGACTGACCAGAAGAGTGAGGTGAGACAGACAAGACGATCGCGGATGATTTAGTTTCGAAACGAGATGCAAAAGCGCCTGTTTGGCAATATTTTGGATTTTGAAAAGCCTGTTGACTTTTGCAGTTTATCTAAGATGATAAACATTCGTTTCTTATTTAATTGGTTCCACATTGTTTGCTGATTCGCTCCAGTCACATTTATTTAAAAATCACTTTATGCAATAGACTGCTTTAAAGCAAGCAGCTTTACATGATTAAACATTACATTATTAGAATTACACTTCACTTTCTACATCCAAGCAGCTCTCCAGTGTTTGTTTTTACTCGTGGATGTCTGATCTCGACGGACTGAACAGAAGAAAGCAACCAAAGCCACACGTACACTCTCAGAAAAAAAGGTACAAAAGCTGTCTCTGGGGCGGTACCTTTTCAAAAGGCACACCTTTGTACCTAAAGAGTCCATATTGGTACCTTAAAGGTACATATTATTAGTACCTAAAGTGTACATATTAGTACCTAAAAGGTACAAAAGTGTACCTTTTGAAAAGGTACCGCCCCAGTGACAGCTTTTGTACCTTTTTTTCTGAGAGTGTACAGTACCTATTACATAGTCACCACGGACCAATGGTAGTTTAAAGGTGTTTGCCAGCCAGAGCAAATGTTTCCGGAAAGCTGTTTTGAACTCCAGAAATGAAGCTTTGTTTTTGACTGATTTTGTTTAAAATGACATCACATCGTTTGTTCTTCATTTTCACTTGTATTATATTGAGGCCTTTAGTGAGCAACATATGTGTGTGTGTGTTAAAACTCAATCTTATACACTTCTGTTCAAAGGTTTGGGGTCATTATTTTTGTTAAAATAAATTAATACTTTTATTCAGCAAGGATGTGTTAAATTGATAAGTTATAGTAAAGACTTTTATCGTTAGAAAAGATTTTGAATAAATGTTGTTCTTTTTAACTTTTTATTACTGTTTTCTCTGTGTTTTTGATCAAATAAATGTGAGCACGAGACTTCTTTAAAAACATAAAAAATCTTCCTGATCCCAAACTTTGCGCCTGTAAGTGCCTCTGTAGGGTGTTTCAGATCAGACCTAGGATGCTCCCTTAGAAGACAGTTGCCTATGTAGGAAGTAGACAGCAGGGTAGCTCAACAGGTTTTTCAATTGTAGAATGTAGATAAACAGTGCTCTTTAAGAAGAGAGTTTTATCATTGTTTCTGTGTGTCAGAGTTCCTGATGGAGTTGAGAGAGTACGGGCCGGTCTACTCCTCCTGGTCGTCTTTTGAGGAGGACCTCCATGATCCTCTGGAGGGGGTGTCGGGGTGCGTGTCGAACTGCTCCAGCGCTCTGGAGGAGCTCACGGAGGACATGAGCGAAGACTTTCTCCCTGTGCTCAGAGAATACGTCCTGTACATCGAGTCCATGAAGGTGAGCTTCTTAGTCATTTCTTCCCCTTTCCATGTGAATTTTAATTCGAGTCAGCATTAATATGGAGCGGCCAGCAGAGTTTCCCTCATCCATCTACTGGAAAATAATTCATGTCGTTTGGAAACAGACTAGGGGTGGAACGGTTCAACTTACGGTACGGTACGGTTCAGTATGTGCTATGTTTAGGCAAAAACTATACTGTCAAATAAAAATAAAGAAAATAAGAATAATCTAACTACAAGCAACAGCACAAATAAATACAATAGAGTAAAGATACAAATAAAATAAACAGTGATTTTCAGTTTTTTTTTTAGGTAGGTCTAACAGTTTTCAGGTACAGAAATTTAATAAAGTAATGAAATGTAAAACAGCATTGCATACTTGACTGTATATATTAAAGATGAATCTTTATTAAAGTTACAAAAGCTATTCAATCAAGAGCAGTGAGTGATTTCTTTGTTGTTGCTGTTTGATTAATATCAAGAAAGTGCTGTCACTTTAAGAGAATGCACTGATACAATACGTTCAGCCGGCTATGTCTGCTATAGGATACTTACCAAGACGGGCATTTTGACATAATTTTTCATCAATACATCAGAGAGAGCTTAATATTTGCGAGTGAATGGTTTGTCCACGTTTTTTTTTCATCGCTGTTGTTGTAATGTATTGGGAAGCCAGGATGCGCATCCATCAACAGAAACATATATTAGCCGAACCCTGTTTGTTTTACGTGTTATTTTATAGCAATCCATATTTCAGATGCGTTGTCAGATTTAAGTTGAACCGTGGTCCTAGCGCGTGCCGAACCGTGTGTGCCGAACCGTACGGTTCGATTTTTTTCCGCGAACCGTTCCAACGCTAAAACAGACCGTTATTTATGACCGCATATTCTCCCAAAACTAAGCCAGTGTTCCTGTATTGTGTGTGAAATTTGGAGTTTTCTGTAGTTACAATATAATATAAATAAGGTCTCGTGATAATGTCATTTGGATGTTGATAATTATATATCATGGACATTTAAAGGTAGTTCCATAATTTCTCCTTTAAAGTCAAGTTAAGTCAAATATATTTGTTCACAATACACATTGTTTCAAAGCAGCTTTACAGAAAATCATAATGTTAATGTTAATAATATCTTAATGTATGGATATATAAAAATAATATATATCCAGCATATATAGAGCTGTGCAGTTATACATTTTACAACGAAATAAGCATATAAAGTAAATATCACTTTATATTTAGAGTAAAGTTGGATATAACCGTTTGTATAGTACTGCTATAGTAGTTTTATTTTGTTATGTGGTGATATTGAGATATGTGAGGTTTTGTTAAAGTTATAACACTGAAGTAGTGACAGGCCTGAAATTTCAGTGTTATCTCCCATCCCTAAGCAGTTTAACTGAGGAGTTCATTGAAGACGAGGAGTTTAATTCCTGCAGACTAGGTGTTTTGAGCATTTCCGCTCAACACGATCATATTTCTTTTCTCCCACGAGTCACTGCGGGATTATTACAGCGAGACGTCCAGGATTTCTGGGAAGCAACAAGAAGCGTTTTAATAGCATCCATATTTGTGTCGTGACTCCAGTGCACAGCATACACCGAACACATTTCATTATCTAGTTTGAGGCAGTAAGCCTGCATTTCTATTAGTTTTTATTGGTCATAGAGAGAAAAAGTGAAACTGGAGAATGTAAACTGTAACGACTGCCTCAGTTCACAAACCTCTTGTCGTTTGTCAGAATGTGCTGAAGAAGAGAGACCAAGTTCAAGCTGAGTATGAAACCAAGTTGGAGGCAGTCGTGTTCAGGGAGGACAAAAAGACACCGGTGAGTTAAATTTCTTTGCTAACTCGGATTTGCAGGGCTTTTAGAGCTGTGTTTATTAAAGGGGTCATATGATGCGATTTAAATTTTTCCTTTCTCTGTGGAGTGTTACAAGCTCTTGGTGCATAAAGAAGATCTGTAAAGTTGCAAAGACTAAAGTCTCAAATCCAAAGAGATATTCTTTATAAAAGTTAAGAGTCAACCACACCTACCTAAAACGCCTCGTTCTAACACGCCCCCACATATCTACATCACGATGTGGGAAGATTTGCATAACACCACCCAAATGTTCACGCAAAGAAAGAAAGCATAACTTTTATTCTCGCTGTAGTAAAATGCACCCACATATTTGTTTAGAGCTGTTTTGGCTTGTAAATGGTGCAGATTTCTCTCCTGATTCAGATGAGACTTTTTCACTAGAGAAAGCTAGCAATATTATGGATTATGGACTCGTATTTTAGCTAAAAAACAATTAATACATATTAATGATGGATTTGTTTGTTATAAACTGATGGACTGGAGTGGTGTGGATTATTGTGATGTTTTTATCAGCTGTTTGGACTCTCATTCTGATGGCACCCATTCACTGCAGAGCATCCACTGCTGAGACAGTGACGTCTCTGTTCCCATGAAGACACAAACTTATCTACATCTTGGCCAGTATTGAAGTATATTCCGTGATGGGAGAAACGTCTCTTCAGTTGAGGGTTAAGCGGTCAGTCTGCTCTCCGCACATCTCTGTCCTGCAGGTGCCCTCTGATGTGGAGAAGTGTCAGGACCGTGTGGAGTGTTTCAACGCTGACCTGAAGGCCGACTGGGACCGCTGGGAGAACAACAAGCGGCAGGACTTCAGACAGCTGCTGACGGGCATGTCCAACAAAAACATCCTGTACTACGAGAAGGTCAGAAACCTTCCTGCACCTGTGAAAAGTGGTTTCTATATGATGTGCTTAGAGCTGAAAATTTGTGTGTCATTTCAGAGGCGGAGCATGGTATTATATTTTGACGCCAGAACAAAATATGACCAGCTACCAAGACTAACTAATAATGTGTATTGATGATACAGTAGAACCAGACGTGTTTTAAGAAAGTAAATGGGTTCAGTTTGACTTAATGTTGATTTAAGCACATACAGTGGGTGTAGAAAAGAATCAGCCCCTTTAAAATAATCACATTTTGTTGCTTCGCAGCCTGAAATGAAGACGGACGCAGTTTTTGTTTTATCCAGCTGTATTTACTCGGTGCAACTTATAACATCCAAGTGAAAGATAAAACACCAACATGTCAGGAAACCCGCTGTAATTCGTGTATAGAGCACTTGGAGTGACTGTTGCTCAGAAATTGCTCAGCTGTTGTTTGAAGAACTTGCGCAGGAACATTTCAGTCCTGCTGTTTTGTCAAACACTCACACAGCGCTGCTAAATTCAAAACACCTCTGCTAAACGGGAAGAGCACATTTATACTGCAAGAGTCAGAGGAGCTCACTTATTTCCTTATTGACTTCATTGAATATTCACATATTGATATACAGACGTTTTTCTGTGTTGATCATGTTGCTTAAACTGTCAAGACACCCCAAAATCAAAAGGAAGGAAATAAGAAATACATTTTTGTGTTAAGAACATAAAACCCGCTTGGAGTCATTTTATTATTATTATTATTATTTATTTATTTTTTATTATTTGCATTGTGGCAATCAGTGTTATTATTAACTAAAACTACTAAAAATAATTTTTGTTAGTAAAAAAAAAAAAAAAGCTGAAATAAAATATAAATAATACATGGAAAAAATTTTAAATCTTAGAAATGTTGTCTTAGAAACGGATTGAAATAAAGTAAGTGTACTATTTATAACTACTAAAATTACTTAAAACTGAAATAAAAGCTAAGCAGATTAAATCGAATTTTAAAGCTAAATAGAACTCACATAAAAATTACTCAAAATTAAATCTGAAAATAAAAATAAAAGCTAATTCAAAATATTCATAAATAATATAAAGGTATATAAATAATGCAAAAGAACTATATATATATATATATATATATACAGTGGGTACGGAAAGTATTCAGACCCCCTTAAATTTTTCACTCTTTGTTATATTGCAGCCATTTGCTAAAATCATTTAAGTTAATTTTTTTTCCTCATTAATGTACACACAGCACCCCATATTGACAGAAAAACACAGAATTGTTGACATCTTTGCAGATTTATTAAAAAAGAAAAACTGAAAAATGCTCAGTATTTAGTAGAAGCACCCTTTTGATCTAATACAGCCACGAGTCTTTTTGGGAAAGATGCAACAAGGTTTTCACACCTGGATTTGGGGATCCTCCGCCATTCCTCCTTGCAGATCCTCTCCAGTTCTGTCAGGTTGGATGGTAAACGTTGGTGGACAGCCATTTTTAGGTCTCTCCAGAGATGCTCAACTGGGTTTAAGTCAGGGCTCTGGCTGGGCCATTCAAGAACAGTCACAGAGTTGTTGTGAAGCCACTCCTTCGTTATTTTAGCTGTGTGCTTAGGGTCATTGTCTTCTTGGAAGGTAAACCTTCGGCCCAGTATGAGGTCCTGAGCACTCTGGAGAAGGTTTTCGTCCAGGATATCCCTGTACTTGGCCACATTCATCTTTCCCTCGATCGCAACCAGTCGTCCTGTCCCTGCAGCTGAAAAACACCCCCACAGCATGATGCTGCCACCACCATGCTTCACTGTTGGGACTGTATTGGACAGGTGCCTGGTTTTCTCCACACATACCGCTTAGAATTAAGGCCAAAAAGTTCTATCTTGGTCTCATCAGACCAGAGAATCTTATTTCTCACCATCTTGGAGTCCTTCAGGTGTTTTTTTAGCAAACTCCATGCGGGCTTTCATGTGTCTTGAACTGAGGAGAGGCTTCCGTCGGGCCACTCTGCCATAAAGCCCCGACTGGTGGAGGGCTGCAGTGATGGTTGACTTTCTACAACTTTCTCCCATCTCCCGACTGCATCTCTGGAGCTCAGCCACAGTGATCTTTGGGTTCTTCTTTACCTCTCTCACCAAGGCTCTTCTCCCCCGATAGCTCAGTTTGGCCAGACGGCCAGCTCTAGGAAGGGTTCTGGTCATCCCAAACGTCTTCCATTTAAGGATTATGGAGGCCACCGTGCTCTTAGGAACCTTAAGTGCAGCAGAAAGTTTTTTGTAACCTTGGCCAGATCTGTGCCTTGCCACAATTCTGTCTCTGAGCTCTTCAGGCAGTTCCTTTGACCTCATGATTCTCATTTGCTCTGACATGCACTGTGAGCTGTAAGGTCTTATATAGACAGGTGTGTGGCTTTCCTAATCAAGTCCAATCAGTATAATCAAACACAGCTGGACTCAAATGAAGGTGTAGAACCATCTCAAGGATGATCAGAACAAATGGACAGCACCTGAGTTAAATATATGAGAGTCACAGCAAAGGGTCTGAATACTTAAGACCATGTGATATTTCAGTTTTTCTTTTTTAATAAATCTGCAAAAATGTCAACAAATCTGTGTTTTTCTGTCAATATGGGGTGCTGTGTGTACATTAATGAGGAAAAAAAATTAACTTAAATGATTTTAGCAAATGGCTGCAATATAACAAAGAGTGAAAAATTTAAGGGGGTCTGAATACTTTCCGTACCCACTGTATATATATACTTGTCATTACTGTAATCAGATGAGCGTTTCACAACACATTGTTTCAAAGCAGCATTACAGAAATGCAAAATCTTTATGTTTGAATTGGCAATTAATCTTGTAAAATCTACGAGTATGAAGTAGTAAAAAAAACAGTTTTTCTAAAAATTATAAGTACAATTTCAAGTATGTATCACAATGTGCATTATAGCAATAAAAAATTTTTTTCGTAATGAGAATGTGAATGAGAATTTGATTAATGCTATTTATTAAAGTGGTAACTGTAATGTATTAAATGAGAATTGCTATTTTTAAAGTAACTGTAATTGTAATTAAATAATTTAAATAATAAACTATTTAATAATGTATTATTGTAATGTATTTAATTTATGATTAATGCATTATTTTTATTTTATTAAAGTAATGAAAAATCTTGTTTTTTTGTGATGAAAAAAAAGTCTTAAAGGGGTCATATGATGCAATTTCAAGTTTTCCTTTCTCTTTGGAGTGTTACAAGCTCTTGGTGCATAAAGAAGATCTGTAAAGTTGCAAACACTAAAGTCTCAAATCCAAAGAGATATTCTTTATAAAAGTTAATGGTGTGTTCACACCAGATGCGAAGCGAATATGCGCATCGCGTCACTCGCTCTAGATTACTCGCGAGATGTTTTTCGTGTCACTTGCGCGAATAAAAACATAGCGTGACCAACCATGGTGGAGATAACTACAATCGCTGTTTTGTACCTGTTGTCAAAAAGTCCCAAATACAATGTTTTTGAACATTAAAGCATGTCAACATATTCTGTTACACCAAATACACAAAATAATGATCTTTAAAATAGCATCATATGACCCCTTTAATGCAAAATCTAGGTGCGTCACTCCTGCAGCATGTTTCCATGTGAAATAGATTGTTTAGGAAATCTAAGTGTATGTGTCTAGTCAAAGCAGAGTTGTGTTTGAGATGAAGTGGCTTTGGCCTTGACTTCCTGCTGTTGCTTCTGCCCCACAGTGCCTTGCAGCATGGGAGTCCCTCATTCCACTGTTACAAGACAAACAGGAGGCAAAGGGAGAAACGAACTGAGCGTGTTTCAGCCAGCAGAGCTTTCACGGGACGCTACTGGAGCGGACGAGCTCCGAGAATTCATTTTTGTAAAGTGTCTTTATTTGTTAAAGCCCATGCAACCACCTCTCTCTTGTTCTCTCTCTTTTGTTGTGGAAGGAGAATTTGTAGTTTCCTCGTCTCAAGCTCGGGCTAGACCTGCAGAAGAAACGCTAAACACTTAACGGCTTCGGGAAACCACAAACGGTCGCGAGGAGTTTTTGGTGACGTCAACAAATGTGTCGTTTTTAGTGAAATGTTTGCCTGTTACCCTTTTGTAAATGCTTGTCTTTTGATGCTGATCCGTCCAAGGGAACCGAGACGTCAGTGTTCTTGTTTTTTTTGGTTCACGTTCACGAACAGTCCTCTTGCCAAAGATGTGGAACTGAAGTTTGATATCTCCTTTGCTTTTTTCCGGAAGATTTCTTGGCCACTGGCATCACAAAAGCCTTGCCTGGATCGGCCGTTCCCTCGTTACACTCTAAACTAAGCTGTTGCGTTTTCTCAGCCATACTTGACCTCATTAAATATTTATGACAAAATATGTGTCATAATGATTTGTACTTGTCTTAATGGGGCAGTAAATGTGTTTGAGATATCTAGTCGAGTGAGGTGAATGTAATGTGGGACGTTTCCTGTGAAACTCTGGGATACTAATGGAGAGCGGTTCATCTCCAGTAATATACACACATTCTGAAATTCAAAGCTTTTAGTAAATGCATTATGGTAATGTTTTTGGCAGCTGTTACATCGCTGGTTATGCAGTGCAGGATTGTAATGCGTTACTTTTCAGTACGTTTATTTTTAAATGATTTTGACAGAACTCTCTTCTGCTCATCAATGTTGCATTTATTTGATACAAAAATACAAATAGTAATGTGAAATACTACAATTTAAAATAATTTCTATTGTAATATCTGTTAAAGTGTAATTTATTCCTGTGATCAAAGCTGAATTTTCAGCATCATTACTCCAGTCTTCAGAGTCACATGATCCTTCAGAAATCATTCTGATATTCTGCTGCTCCAGAATATGTATTTTTGTATGTATATTATGTATATGTAATTTTTATGTATATTTTATTATAGAAAATTGTAATTTGTACAAATTACATTATATTTTAACACATTTGTTTTTCAGTAATATGTTGCGTGAGGAAATTGTTTAATTGCTTTATCACAGAAATCAAAGATGGTCCTAAAAATTAGGCTTCATTTTCTGTTTCTCCCCCTAATTAATCACTAAAAAAAGGAGAATAAAACAAATCAATTCACACACACACACACACACACACACACACAGACAGACAGACACACACACACACACACACACACACACATACAGACCACACCAAAGACAAATAAAGCAAATGGCATGAACAGTCAGGGTTGCAGTTTCTCTCTCACGGTTGTATTTGGGGAAATTTTGTCATTTCAAGATCAGAGTTTGCATCATTTGTTAAACATTTTTATGTGAGTTCTCCATCAATGTTGCAATTAGTAATGCAGCAATGTTTAATCAGAACTGACCCTCTAGTGTTTGAGCACAGCTGCAGCACACAGATTGGAAACACGCCACCTGCTGGTAAATGCAGTTAATGCAGCTGCTTTTCTGTCATCGAGTATCTTCTCATTGCCTTCTGAACTTTTCTTCCACCTTCATCCTCTCAGATGTTCTGTCTGGCAGCATAGGCTGTTTTCTATGTGTCTATGTTTGCCCTTTTTAATGTGGTCTAGTTCATAAAAGTTTAGTGACGATACATGGCTTGAAGTTTAACCCATCAAATCCAGTCCACTTTTGTCTCTTAATTTTTTAGTTGATTTGATTTTCAATTGAATAAATTTTATTTTACATTACATAGGCAGCTATATGACTTTTGTTGCTTAAGTGCATGTTGTACATTATGATATAAAATACAGCTTATACTAAAAATGATTCAATTCAGTTTACACAAGAACAGATTAAATGTAGAATGATTATATGACTTTCTACAGAATCTGCAATAACTGTGGTCCATTAATCTGTTATTTTATATGCTTAATGGTTACATTTTTTTTTGTCAAATATTAAACGACTGAAGCATGAGTGTGTCATATGTTTACTTACAGATCAGTCCAGCGGGTGTGTATGAAGTATAAAAATAACAAATTAAACTAAAGCAAGTGAGGAGGATCACTTACAATTGAATAACCTTTTAATCAACTGCATGTTTTGTATATGTAATGTTTTATAAAGCTTATTTGGCTTCCTTTTAGCATAAACTGTTTATAGTTAAACTGACAAAATATAAATTCTGGACTTTAAAAGGAAGAATAACTTGTACAGTGTTGTTTGATGCTGTTACCCTTTACCTCAACTGATTTAATACTAGACCATAGCGATAGAAATGATTAGAATATGCTAATAAGATGTATTTTTCTTTAATGTATTTTTGTGCCTTTGCACAGTCAGAACTAAAAACTACAGTATATAGACTTATGGACTGCCATTATACTATAATGATTATTTGCATCATTATTGTATTTCCTGGATACTTTGTGTAAAAAAAAGTATGTTTATTAAGATACACCATACACGGATGTACAAATAACTTAATTTATTGCAAAATCTGAACAATAAAAATCTGATAAAAGATGTCATCCATTTCAAATAGACCGGAAATATACAGAAATATTGGTAACACTTTACAGTAATGATCCATTACTTAACATTAGTTAATTCGTAATACTTATGTTAAAGTATTTAATAATCTTTGTTAAGGCTGGTTAATAAAAATACTACCGTTCGTTGTCAGTTCAGGTTCTTTAAATAGTATAGATACAACTTCTGATTTCAATAATATACTAGTTAATGTTGAAATTAACATTAAGATTAATATACTTTCGAAGAATTTTCCAGTGTGAGTTCATGTTTACTAATGCAGTCAATGTTAACAACGAATGGAAATTTATTGTAAATTGTTACCAAAATACCTAAAAACTAAGGATTGTCAGCATTTTATACATAGATGTTAAAAAAAAAACCTTGGCAAATGAGATGCTATGCTACACATATTGCATTACCAATAATGCAGTGTAACCACAGTGCAACAGGAAGTAGCATTATCCTAGTAGAATATCCTCTATTGTACGTAACATCAGTGTAAACCTACAAACTTGTCCATTTCTGATACATTGTCTGCTTTGGTGTGGTTGATGCTGTCAGTCAGTTCCCTTGAATTCTCTCATATCCATCATGTCTCGCAGAGCGACATCCTACAATACTAGGCATAAAAAAAATAAAAAATAAAAATGTTTTAAGAATGACTGTTTCTCAGAATTCAGTAGTGAATAAAATATTGTCAAAGGGTGCCAAAAAGTGTCAGCTTACCTAATGGGTATCATAGAAAGAACAGTGAAGATGCTGGACAGTATGAAGACAAACCCTGGGAAGGTGTTAAGTGTGGCCTGATAGATCTCAGTGTAGATGGGTGTGGTGACCAAGCTTGCAAGTTTGAAGGACAACTGGAGCATGACAAAGGTAATGCCTATGGCAGGAAAAGTAGCTAAATGTGAAAATTACAAAGGACATGCTTCACCAAACTGTGGTGTTCCAAACCAAAGGTTAGGAGGAGTTCAGTTGGTTCAGTTTTTTATCCCATCATCACCCCAACTGTACCTTTATTTGTAAGCTCTATTACATATCAGTTACATAGGGTTGGTGCCAACAGGGGCGAGATGAGGTTTGGTTGGTGTGACCTGCAGGTACAGTATATCAGAAGAATAGGGGGCCAAGCATTGAAGCCTGAGGCACTCCAGTAGCATGGGATTTAAACACACCTCCTTAAAGAAAGCTTGAAGAATACAAGCTATAGAACACACTTACACTAAAATGTATTTTTTTAATATACTGTAAATATTTTAAAAATTATAAGCTTAGTATTTTAGTTTATCTCAATGTTACATTACAGATAGTCTTTAGTGACTGAGTGTGACTGTACTACATTACTGCTTTTAAACTTGTCACCATGTCTTGGCTTCATATAACTTATTCTTTACAAATGCTCAAATCTGCTTACATTTTTGTCTGGCTTGTCACTAGCTGTGTGTTGGTGATAAGGTAAAGTACATAACCTCTGGATGGTTACCAAAAATCACAGACGTGCATAAAAGCAGAGTAAGGCCTAAAAATTCACCTGTCCACTCTCTCTGAACTGAGAATTATTTGAACTACACTTCGCTAAGTCCTACCACACAGACAGATTCGATAAGGTATCTTCAAGGGAGAGAGTGTTTAAATACCAACTGCTATCCACTGGAGTGCCTCAGGGTTCGGTACTTGGCCCTGTATTTTTCTGAAATACCATACTCTAACTCCTTGTCACCTCAGCCAGCCCATCAATTCACCATAATCCATCAACTGTTTGTACAACTGGGATCAACAACACTAACACCAGTTAGGTCAGTCAAGAACATGGGTAATTAAATAAAGAAAACAAATCAACGACCACCAGAAAACAACCAGGGGTGCGTTTCCCTAAAGCATCATTAGGTGCTAACTATGGTCGCAAGTTCCGTTGAACTCTGTTGGTAACAACGGAACTTGCGACCAAAGTTACTTTTGGGAAACGCACCCCAGGTCATAAACATAATAATTTTACATTTGCCTATAAAGCTACTTCTTGTTACCACACAAAAGCATAAATATTCCTATGGGCTCCACCTGTGAATACACTGACTCATAGTTTCACTTCTGTTTTTGATTTTTTGTTCACACTTCAACTTCTGAATATATACACCCAATATTGATATGCTTCACAGCACAGCTGCATGGACTAACATGCAAATTGTTTAAAAGTCAACTGAAGTCTAAGTTTACTTTTGAGGAAATTTTAGTGTTCCATAAAGCCTGTCTTTGGCAGCACCATATGCAGACACACAACTTGTTTAGGGTACTGACAGAATAAAGAACTGACACCTACCATATGAGGTTCCCCGGACCTGTTTGGACAGCAGCGAGCGAATGGTGGGCATTGGAATCAGAGCAAACAGAGTGATAGAGCGAGCTAAAGGGAGACAAGAACAAAACCTCAGATCAGAGGAGAATACTAAATCAATTAAGTGATTTATAGAGCATTTCTGTTTTTATTCCCTTGAGGAACTATGCACTTGCTCTATTATTGCATTCCAGTTTAAATGCTCGTTCATCACTATAGTTAGAAACAGTGTTGGGGTAACGCATTGCAAGTAATACAAGTTACATAATCGGATTACATTTTCAAGTAACTAGTAAAGTAACATTACTTTTTCATTTACAAGAAAATATCGGAGTTACTTTTCAAATAAGTAATGCCAGTTACTTTGTTTTCCCATTTTTTTACTGACAGCTTTCCAATGATACAATTCAACCATATTAATAATTAAAAATAGCTTTAGATAAACATAACGTTTGTGTTTCTTTTCTTTTTCTTTTTCATTGCTGAAGAGTGTTAAACTTTCTCTCTTCTCCTGCGTCCTGTTCTTTATATAATCCAGAATTGGCAGCACAACTGAAATGTTTTCTGAGCTGCCCTCTACTACAGATGTACAGATGTTAATTTACATTCCTTCAGCCTGAGGCTTATTCATTTCACTTTTGGTGTGAAAGGGCTTCTACACTTGCCAAAACAGAACTTTTTTTTCATTATTAAAATCAAACAAGCAAGTCCAGCCCAGATTTTAAAAATAACATAATACATTACTATCCATAAAAAGTAATTAAGTAACGAAATTAGTTACTTTTTTTAGGGAGTAACGCATTGTTAAGCAA